GACAGTTCGTTTACGGCAGCTGTTGAAACCAGTTCACCTCAGTAGTGCGTTGCGAAAAAAACAATGGAAAAAAATATTGAACAAAGAGTTTGCATCAAATTTTGTTTTTCGAACGAAATTTCGTGTGCAGAATCGTTGCGAATGCTACAAAAGGCTTATGGGGAATCAGTTTTATCGAAAACTCAAGTTTATGAGTGGTACAAAGCCTTTCAGGACTGTCGTACGACCGTCGAAGACATGCCGCGTTCTGGACGACCTTCGACCTCTACCACCGACGAAAACATTGAAAAGGCAAAGGAAATCGTGTTCAAAAATCCTCATGTGAGTGTTAGAGAGATAGCACGAGAGCTAGGCATCGGTCGTGAGATGGCTCGTTTGATTTTGGTGGACAATTTGTGTATGCGACGTGTCAACGCCCGGCTTGTTCCGATTCACCTCAATTTGTTCAACATTATCAACGATTTTAAGGCCAAACATTCAATAAATACCATCGAACAGCCACCGTATTCACCTGATCTTGCACCGTGTGACTTTTTCCTGTTTCCCAACCTCAAATTACCACTCAGAGGAACGCGTTTTGAATCCATAGAAGACGTAAAACAGAATTCGCAGAGGGAACTCAAAGCCATACCGGAAAGCGCCTAAAAAAAATGTTTGATGATTGGAAGAAACGTTGGCATTTGTGCATCGCTTCTTATGGGCATATTTTGAAGGAGATAAAATAAATATTGATGAAGATTAAGAATTTTGCGTTTTATTTAAAATTTCCCGAAAACTTTTCGGTCACAATGTAAGGTTATTTTCTACTCGCATAATACTCGTCGTATTATGCTTACTCGTCATGCAAAAATCAACAAAAATCGGAAAAGCGCGCGAATTAAGTAAATTAAAAAAAAACGCATAGCTTAATTTAAATGTTTCTTTATTGAAATGAATCTTAAGACTAACCTGTATCTAATATTTTTGCTTATATTTATAGCAAAGATTTGAAGCATCGAATCCTTATAATATATTTTGTTGTTTGGCCAGACAACTATAATAAAAAATGTTTAGTTGCAATATGGAACTGGAATGTGTTTCTGAAGATTGTTTGTTTAGGAACAAACGATTCTCTAAGTAACTTTTACAGCTCATTTCTGTTTTGATAATGAGTCCTGATAATATAAAATAAAATATATGAGGTATGGGGGTATAACTCGCGCTATTTTAATATTAATATTTTATGCACTTTTAACTTTTTGTAATTGTTTTTTGTCCAAAAATTTCTTTTTTTGTGTTTTTGTATTAATAACAAAAATAATTCTTATAAAAATATTTGTTATATACTTGTTTTTATACTGAAATTTTAATTTCTTGGAGACCGGCTTAAAAACACGTCCGCCCACTAGAAAAAGTTTGTGAGCAGCGAATTCTTTAAATTAAGTGCTAAAAAATGCGCATTCACTCTGGATGTATGAGGTGAATGCTGGTTTTATTAGTTTACGTGCATTTTTGTATGATCAGCAGCGAAAAAACAATTCATTTGGCAGATGCACGTGCATTCGTTGTTGTTAGGTTATTTTTTCGGGTTAATTTAAGTAGAAATATTTTTATATAAAATTAAAATTTTTGAATTGAACATAAAATAAACACTTACTAATATTTGAATATAAATGTTACAATACTTTATATTAAATACTTACATAGTACTTTAATTCAAAAAATTGTCAGAAATTGGACTGATCGAGTTGGCTATGTAATTTACAGCCGTGGCGGATATATGCCAGAAACTGTACTCAGAAAATAAATGCCATGAAATTGTTTACCAGATTATAATAAAAAATTTTATTTCAACAATATTTCTGTCTCATAATAAAAAAGCATCCTATATATTAAACAAAAATTAGAAATTCAATTCGGTTATGATTTCGACATACTAGGAAAGTTGGCCCAAAACATATTGTTGAAGTTCCCCGTTCTACTTAAGAAATAAATATGTTTCCGTTTTTTTACTATTTTTCACTGCTGCGACAGCTGTTGTAGCTGTTGATGATTAATGTTATTATTATTATTATGATGGTAATGGTGGTAATGTTGCTGTTGTTACTGATGTTGATGCTGATGATGCTGTTACTGTACTTGTTGTTGCATATGCTCTGCTGTTGTTGTTGTTATTGGTGAATATTTTGTTGAGCTGCAACCCTTTTCTTTTACGACTATTATTTCCTGTCAACTGCCTTCATTTAGCTATTTCTCATTTAATGTATGAATATATTTTATTTCGCTTTAGTTATTTATAGTGTTAGTTATTAATTAGGCAAATTTAAAAAAACTTCAATTTTTATTTTAATTTACACAAACCGCTTCCGAAACATCTAACCTTTTCGAT